AAAAGTGAACGGAGGCAGGCTGGTAGCCAAAAAAAGTAGAATTTCATGGTTCTACATGGTTCAATGGTTCTTTTTCATCAGTATTGTTTATGAAACTTTAGACCAGTGTTTCTCAACCTTGGCAGCTTGAAGATGGGCGGACTTCAATCCCAAAAATCCCCCAGCCAGCTATGCTGGCTGGGGAATTCTAGGAGTTGAAGTCCGCCCATCTTCAAGCTGCCAAGGTTGAGAAAAGTTTCTTTAGGCTGTAATACGTCCGAACAATTTCTGAGCTCTAGCACTCTCATTGCCCAAAATGTCCACACAAGCATTTGGGTCAATTATTGCCCGTGTCTGCTGGCAAAGCCCTTGAAAAGGAAGAGGACTAGAGCCTTAATTTAAACCAGTGTTTTTCAACCTTGGCCACTTGAAGAGGGGTGGACTTCCAGTGCAGGCTGGGGAATTCTGGGAGTTGAAGTCCACCCCTCTTCAAGTGGCCAAGGTTGAAAAACACTGGTTTAAACTCTCGGGTTCGGAGAATTAAAATTAAGGTTCTAGTCCTCATGGGTCAACTCTAATTTACTCCCAAAGAGGCACACATTACTAGGGATTAGCCGTGGTTGTGATTCTGGCTACAAACCTCTCCATTCACCGCAGGTTGACCTTCTTTTATCACATGCTATTTATATTCTCATCCCTCAGAGGCTGCACTCAGACCAAACCACTTTTTTTTTTTGGGTAAGTAGGGCAAACCACTCATCTCACAACCTGCTCAAGAATGGCCTTTAATCTTTTGTAGATGGGAAACAAGAACAAGGACATTCTTGGCTGTATGCTCCAGCCAGGGCCCAAATCAGATAGCTTCTCTGTATATTAACTTTAGATGGGTATTACCAGACAGGGCTCTCCATCAAAGACATCCAGGAGTTCAGCTCGATTTGGAAGGGAAAAAAAACCCCTGTGTTTGCACAACCTGGTTCCCCAGGGGTTAACTTCACCCTGGTTAACAAACTCACCCAGCTGCTTAGCTTGCTCCAACATACCAAACCATAATGCAACAAGACAGGTAGGATTTGAACAATGCATTCCGCTAAAATCGGCTCTCTGTTTATAATTAAGCATGCTGTGCAAACAGAGGTGGGGAAGAAAAAAAGAATTCATAACCTACAAGGGAATGTCACAATACACACATTCTTAAAGCTATTCCTGTCCCCTTATTCTTTTGCTAAAATACAGCATGCTCGTTCACTGGATTGCCAGTTGAAGGAGTCACCAGACGGGCGGTTTGTTTCCAGCTGGAAGTTATTCACCGCTGGCTTGAACACTCCAGCTAGAGAAATGCAAAGGAAAGGATTGCAAACCAGCTGTTTACTCCCCCTCTTTCAGTCCAACCTCTGTCCAGATTCCCGCTATCCCTTCGCAACAATTTCACTATTCACCTCCTTTTCACTTCCAAGCTAGAATGTTGCTCCTTAGACTTCCTTGGGGGTTTGCCAAGCAGAAGTGAAACCTGCAATTCAGGCATTTTAAGTCATTCCAGTTACCCTAAGCCTAACTTCGAAAAAGACATGCTTCTACCCTGTTACCCCCCTCTTCCTAAAACCATTTAGCTCAGCATTATGTTTATTTTTCCTCTATTCCTTTTAAAAGGGTTTGTGAAGCTCCTTATCTGGGGCTAAACACCATGAAAAAAATTCCTTCCCCCAAATCTGATTATTGCAGCATAGAAACAGCCGCTCGTTTTCAGAGTTGTTAAAAACTGCCATTTTGCAAGCGTTTCCTGAACTAGAGAATGAAAAGACCTCTCTGGAAATGATCTGGCCCTGTGCCCGTTTCCATGCAGGATTTCTGTTGGGCGACCCAGCTACCATCTCTCGGATTCTGACGCTCGCACTGCCGGAGCGTCGTTCCTCAATCAGGGGCTTTCCTGGTGCAGGGGGGTTGCAAGCCCCAGATTTGTCAACTGTCTGGCTGAACAAAAATCATTGCCAACCTCTGGAAAAAACACCACTGGGAAAAGTTGGTCTGAACTGGAGACCAGAAAGTTGCAGTCTTTCGGCCCGTGCAGGAAAAGGAGCACAAACTGGCTGCAGGACAGAGAGTTCCTGAACAGCAACCACAGCAGTTGCATCAGTCACTTTCTCCCTTTCGAAAGGGGCTCTAGGGGAATGGGGTCGGGATTCACAAGACCATCTTGTATTTTGGAAAAAACAAAACAAGACAACATTGCAGTGGGTTAGGGTGATTCTTAATTTTGAGGAGCCTGTGGATTAATGAGGGGTGATTATTTATTCTCAAATCACTGCCAGCGGGAGGAATTCAAGGGGAGAGAAACTGAGGAGTTGCTTTGCTCTGAGTTTGGCTGGAAGACCCCTGTAGAAAGCGTCAACCTTTAAAAAATCACGTCACTCGCTCAGAGGCTAAACTGAAAGCTTAGAAAGCTCTGGAAGAAGGGGAGCTGGTAAAATAAAGTGAGCTGAAAATGGATAGAATTAAGTGTTGTTTTTTTTCCTCTTAAAATATTTCTGCTCGATATTTCATGCTCAGTTTCGGTAGGATTTGCTCCAATTTTTGCTTGCTGGCTGCCCGTTTGATCCGACTCTTTCTAAACTACACCAGGTAGGTTCAAAAGGCAGAACTTGACCTCAGGTTGGTTGCTGCCCTATGATTATCCTTGCAGATAAGAAACCCTCTTCCAAATCACTTGACCTGAGAAACTCTGGTTAAAAGGGTGGGGGACGAAACTGGAGCCCAAAGATTTCCCAGGAAGGGAGATTTCCTGCTCTGTCCCATCCAGATGCCAGGGATCTCCCCCTTCCCAAAGAGGATGGCAGAATTCACTACCCACCTGGGAAAAACTTCTTCACTTAGGGATACCAGCTAATACCCCAGAGCTCAGCCAAGGCAGACCGAAGAACTGAGTTCCCAATGTAGAGGAACATGGGGATGACCTTGGAGAAGAAATTCAACCCCTCTTCCATAAACCCCAGCTTAGCCTTGGAAGGGCGGAATGGGAAGAAACTCAAGACTGATCCACCTCGATTCTCTTTGGTAGGAGAGCGAGCAGCGGAAAACCCTGGCCGGCTTTCCAGATTCTGTTACAATACCCTGTCGTAATAAAGCATACTAAATCCTTGTTGTTGTTGTTTAGTCGTTAAGTCGTGTCCGATTCTTCATGACCCCATGAACCATATTGTGCCAGGCCTTCCTGTTCTTCACTTCCTCCCTGAGTTTGCTCAGTTTCATGCTCATTGCTTCAGTGATGCTCTCTAAC